TGCTTATGTGGTGCTGAGGAATCGAACCCAGGGCCTCATGCATGCAAGGCAAGCGCTCTACCACTGAGCTACCTTCCCAGCCCCGGCTCCTATTTCTTATTGGTACTAGAATTAAATCAGGGCCTAATGCATGCTAAGCAAGTATCTTCCCATTTGAGTCACATGCTCCTCCTCATTTTTTTGTTTGTTTTTGGAATTTGGTATTTTGGGGAACTCAGTACTTGGGTTTAAACTCAGCGCTTCTTACTTGCTTGATTTATTAGCTTGACTGGAGCGCTACCCTTGAGCCAAGCCTCCATCTCAGCTTTTACTGGTTAATTGGAGATAAAGAGTCTCATGGGTTGGATGTTCTTGCCAGGGCTGGCTTTGAACCGTGATCCTCACAAGTAGCTGGGATTAAGTATGAGCTAACAGTGCCGGGCTGTATTTTGCTTTGAGAAAGGACTTCACTACCTTTGCTGAGACAGATGGAACTTACGATTCTCTTCCCCCACCTCCTAAGCAGCTAGGATTAGAGGCCACTGTGTCTGCCCTTTCCTCCCAGTACCAGAGTTGGACTCAGGACTTGTACCTGCCAGGCAGGCGCACCACCACTCGAGCCCTGCCTCCTCCACTGCTTCCCTGCCCCAGACCTTTCCATATTAGTTTTCTTTGAGCGAGGAGCTCCCACCGATGCCCAGGCCTGCCTGGAGTGGGATCTTATTTACGCTCCCCACATAGCTGGGATTATAGGCATGCCCGACCATGCTGGGCTTGGCTGGTCTTGAACCACCTCTGTGAACAAGCCCAGCTTGAATCTGCTCTCTTTTCCTTCTCAAAAATCCTACAGGTACAGACAGCTTTCTAAAAAGCAGACCATGTGAACACCTGGAGGAAAGACGAGGAAAACAAACAGATCCCCAGCAGATGGGCCCATTAGGGCCACGAAAGGTTAATTCCCCAGCTCTCCACAACAACCCTATGAAAGGGTGATGTCTGTAGGTGTAAGAGATGAGGTGCAGCGGGCGGAACTCCAGCTGCCAAAGCCGGCCTGTGTGTGCCCTGCCCCCAGTGAGAGGGCTGGGGAATCTTCGGGAAGTGGGGTGCCCAGAGCTAGGTTTCAGGAAGCTAGGGGCCCTCTGTAGCCCATGCAAGAAGGGAAAAAAAAATCCTAGGGGGAGATGCGAAGTAAACCCAGGAGGAGGAAGCATCGGCACCCCACAGAAGAGGAACCCACCAAAAAGACACCCAAGTCCCTCCGGTGGGCAGGAGGACAAGTAGGGTGTCTACAGACGGGAGAGTCCAGAGAAGAGACCAGGAAGAAGCGCCCTGATCATCTGAGTCAGCTCTGTGAGCTCAGGAACCCCAAAGACGCAGGGCCTTCCCCCCAACCCTGGAGGCCCCCCCAACCACTCCGCAGTGAACGGAACCAAAGTGCTGCGGGAACGAGTGAGCACGGACTGTACTTGTAAGAGCACGCAGCCAGCGTGACTACAATTCCCAAGAGGCAACGCGGCTGCAATCCCACTTCCGACCCTCCGGCATACACGCAGGGCCTGTTGGGATATGTAGTCCCGGCCACAATTCCTCCCCCCCCACACACACCGGAAGGTCGGCTCCGTCTCCACTTCCAGGCTTACCTCCTTCCATGTCCTCCGTCCAGTTGCGGCTACTACTCGTGGGAGAGCTGGGAGAGGTGTAGTAGTCGCCGCCCGGGCTCGTGTCCACGTCCTCCTCCATAGAGCCCGATTTGTGCCGCTTGCTTCTGGAGGGGAGCAGAGGGAAAAGGAAGGCCGGTTACCATGGAGACGCGGTGGGCGGGGAAATGGCCTGACTTTCCGGGGCGGGGCGAAGTTGTATCGCGAGATTCCACGGGACCCGCATCAATTCTGACTGTAATCACTCGTACCTTTAGGGATGGGAGGGGAGAGGGGGGCGGGGCTGCACCCCGGTCCCGCCGCGGCCAGCAGAGGGGAGCCTGAAGGTCACCCTGCCCCAGCTTTACAGATGGGGGAAATCGAGGTACGAACGAACGATAGGTCACTGTCAAGGAACTGCGTCTTCACAGGGCCCAAGGGCACTCAAGGTTGGGTTTTGCAGGATGAGTAGGAGTTTTCTATACTAGATGGACTGAATTCCAGGAACAAGAATGAACCGGTTTTAACGACAGGGTGATATGCCGGCGGGTAGGGTGGTGACAGACCTAACGACAGGGTGCCAGGCACGTACCCACTGGAGGACGTGCTAGGTAGCGTCCTTCTCATTCCCGTGCTGGCTGGATTCAGGTCGTAGGCCAGGTGCCCCTGCAGCTCTCCCAGAGAGAAGTTGGGTCCTGTGCCAGTCACCACAGGTGCTGTGTGGAACGGTGGGGAAGAGAGTGAGGGCGCAGGCCCAGAGGGGCTGTTACCCCCTGGAAGGCTGGGGTCAGCATCCCAGGGGTCATGTGGTGGGGGGTGGGGGGGTGAGGGACTTCTCAAAAATCAGAGACAGTTTTGTTGTTTGGAGGTACTAGGATTCAACCTTGGGGCCTCACACTTGCTAGGCAAGTGAGGCCTGCCACCCCCCCACCCCCGCCCAATCTTTTCTCCTTTCCTAATTTGACAAGTTAAGCTCTTACATCTATGCCTGGGCTATCTGCACTTCCCACATGGCTGAGGTAGCAGGCGTGTGCTGCAGTATCCAGTGTTCGGTTGGAAGAGGGGGTCTCATAAAGCTTTTTGCCTGGCGTGGCTGGCTTTGAATCTTTCTTTCTTTTTGCTGTCAGTCATGGGGCCTGAACTCTGGGCCTGGGCGCTGTCCCTCAGC